GGGAAAAACAGTGCAAGGACACACACATGGGCATCAGCTTAGTGGACATGAGACAGGAGAGAGACATTTGTTTTTGAAAGTTAAAAAACACAAAGTTTTGTTTTCCATCATTTTGGATCATAGTTGTCACAAAAGAACTTCTCAAAGCAAATTAATATCTGATGTCACAATTTTGCGCAAATTTATATCTGATGTCACAATTTTGCAAACATCTATAGAAATGTTTTACTTCCCTATCCAAATAACAACAGATATTTAAGAGTACTGTATTTTTTTCTTAAATGATTTCTTTAGGGTAGTATCTTAATTAGCATTATGTTGGCTCTTTACTATTTTTGACAATGTTCCTAGTGTACTTGGAAAATTGTGTTCATACCTTTGGTGTAAAGCAGTGTCTTTTTTTAAATTTTCCCTCATTTTTCATTTTTTCTTTCCTTTTTTGTTTTTTAATAACTCTGGAGTCTTTGGTTGAAAGAAAGAATACTATCTAAGGACAAAATGCTATTATTAAAAAAAAAGGTCTTCTAGGATGTATTGTGTGTAACAAATTTCTGGAGCAGGTATGCATCATAAGCAATTTTATTTCCTGTAGTGCTGTCAATAGAAACTTTTACTCTTTGAAAATTGACATGTAAGTTACAACCTTTGGTTTCTTGAATTCTGACACATAAAAACCCTTTCAAGTAAATGATGATGATTTCTGCTTTTCCCAATTGCCATTTCTAAGGCTCTCTCTTGGTTTGTTACATTCACTACATGAATACTGTGTGTTTCCCACAGAGGGAGTAAGAGTGGGAGTGAGTGGGCAAGGGAAAGAATATTGTGTTTGAATGTGTGTGTAGATGCATGTGTGTGTGAGCAAGTGTGTGTATGTAGATGTGTGACTGAGAGTGTGTATGTGTAGATATGTATGAGTCTATGAGGGAGTGTGTGCAGGTGTGTGTGAGTGAGCACGTGTGTATAGATGTGTGTGTGTTATCAAACTGAAATCTCTCTATCTGGGATCCCAAACCATTTATGCAAAAAGGATGTTTCAATTACTCTGTTGGGGCACTGCAGTAACTGTACTTAGTAAAAAAGAAATAAAAATTGAGAAAAAATGAAATAATTATTTGTATCTATTGACTATTGATTTACAGCATATTTAATTATTTACAGTCTATTATAACACATCAACATAAGCCATAAACAGAATTCGCACACTGCCGTACCATAAAATACAAATTAGAAGTTAAAAATATTTAAGAAATCCGTTTTAATATTTACACACACTCAGTGAAAGTTATGGTTGCTCACATTACGTAGACTCTGTACACTTAGCAAAATGGCATGATTGCTACAGTTGAGATATTTGCCCTAACCAACATGGTGAGGTTTAGTTATTTTTTTTCCTCCTCCTGGAAGGATTTTTAAAAATCATTTTCTGTTTCCTTAAGACATTTTTGTTTTTAAATGACCAATGGATAATGTTATTTGTTTCCTTGAAAAAGAGCAAGTAGACAAGCAATGCGAGAGCTAGTGAGTTTCCAATGTTCTGAGGTACAGCACTATTGTAGTGTCGGATTGTGCAATGGTTCCTAAGAACAGTAGGCATTATTTGCTGATAGAGAAATGCTCAGTACCCTGTATCACTTGTTTCAATATGTGGATTTGTGTTGCCAAGTTAAAAGCACTCATACACTGGTTGAATGAAGGAAATAAAAGGTATTAGCTTATTCCTTTTGTTTTCCAATGTATGAATGCATATATATGCATGTATGTTGATATGGATCTCTATATATACATATATACATGTACACTGTTGTATGACCTGTTGTTTGTTGATTGCTTGGTTGTTTTTGTTGTTGAGTATGAAGTTAATCATAAGACTGGAACACAGTTATCTATAGAAAATGAAAATTGGGTGAGTTGCCAATTTAATGCAGGTCTGGCTTAAAATAAGCAGGATTCATTTCTCCTTTATGCTTTCTACTGAACTTTCTCTATGTGTTGTGCTTTTTTAAGCTGACAGATATCTTTTTTGTTACTAAAGCTACAATGTAAAGTCTTTTGGTTCATAAACTATTATTATTATTTATTATTATTATTTTTAACCGAGCACTGCTTTTGAAGAAATGAGAAGAGGAAATGTCTAGACGGCACTGCTTATCTTATGTCTTTCCCGTTAGTAAAACTGTAGTGGAAAGAACTGTAACATTCCCTATGCAAACAAATGATGTTGTTGCATGAGTTTTCAGTTCTGAAAATGCATTTCATACCTACTAGCAGTCATGTACAATATGTATATATATACAGATTGAGATCAAAGATTTCATTTCAACTGTGAATTTTAGAGTCAGAATTCACCTATGAATGTCACAAAGATGAAAAAACACCTTAATCGCTGGCTATCTGGCTGTTTTATAATTAAAAAAAACCTGTACATAAATGTATAAGCTGATAGTAATAGCATATCAGAATTGCCAAAACACACTTTTGTGGTCCCTAATTTTAACCACTGGATATCAAGGTGACTGGTCTTTGTGGACTTGTAATATCTAACACCCTTCCCCGACCCCCTCCTCTCAAACCAATTTAACCACAGTAAACATATAAAGAATAAATTCTATATCTACCGTTTGTTACCTCTGGGCAAGATGAGTCAGTTGTTTCTAACTACGTGGTTATTGAATGCCAACATATGGATTCTGTTCTAGGGCATCTGTTCCAGTTTCCATCTTTTCTCCTTTTCCAGTTTCTGCTTATCACTGGGGGTAGAAATGAATCCCTGGTTATATGCTTTTGACGCCCATGCTGCGAGGTTGCTTCTCTCCACTCCGATCTAGATTACTCTATTGACTTCTTCGGATATCAAATATTTGTTACGTGACAATACCAAGGATTTTTATGGCTTTTACAATAATTACAAATAAGAGCCCACTTCTTGACTTGGGCTCAGGGTTGTCTCTAGAAAAACCATTCCAGAATGGCATTTTGGAGTTGTGCACCTGAGTTATTAATATGCTCCTTCTTGGTATATGCTATTCATACTAACCCCTGGTGACAAGGGGCAGGCACTTTTATTAGTGTGGTGCCCCCAGATTGCTGCCTACGTGGAAGTGTGTCCCTGGAGAAGCTTAAAGAATCTCTACTCTGAGCCCATGGGCGGAAGCTTGGATGGATTCTGCCCACAGCTCATACTCAGAGGTGTTCAAGTGTATAATCAAGAAATAAGGGCCACAGTCCCTGATACAGGTGGGGAGAAAAATACCATCTAATCTTGAGCCACATTCAGAAGGCTAAGTACTAAACTTTCTTTCCTTCTTCTTGTCAGATACTTAGAATAGAAGGACAATAGGACCTACCCTATTCCAAGCAGCTAAATCATCAGGGGGAAAAAGCATAACATGTATCCACAGTCAGATAATGATCTTGGCTATTATGCAAAATTAGGAAATGTTACTCTGAAAAGAAGTGGTTTTTGTTTTTTAAATAGACATAGCAAAGTCATACTCCAAAGAGAAGTTCAATCAAATCAAACTTTACGGAAAATTAAGCAGTTTACTATTTTCTCAATGAAAAAAGCAAAATATAACCCTCACATGAATAGAAATAAAAATATATTAGCTTACTCTTCTTACTGTCCAACATATGAATGCGTTTGTCTAATTGGTATAGAACGAAGTACAATGACAATTTAAAAATGGAATAAAACAATACATCGTGCCTACCTGATTATCAGTTAGACATTTTTCTGCAGTATCAACTGAGGTCCATATCCTGCATCAATTAATGTGGCTTTGTTATCCTATTATCCACTCTTATCATATTTTCCTTGATTGGGGAGATTGCAACATACACAACGAAAGCAACCTTAAAAAAATAAAACCTAATAAACCCACAAACTAGCTCTACTTGTGCACATAATCTTTGAAGTATTGTTTGCTATGAAAAATAGCAAGGTGAATTTCATTGCACATAAGGAAATAGAGTTCACTCAATCTCTCCAAAGCCTTACTTCTTCTGTCTCCTAAGAATATAATCAGAATTTCAGAAGCAAGAAAGCTGGAAAGGAACATTAATTCTTTAAAGAAGCGAACAAATCCCTCTTTGGAAATACCCTATTAAAGTCAGAAATGAACTTATAGGGAAAATGTTGCAGAGACAGCTGATGTAGTGTGAGAATAGCAACCTGTTTGCTCTTTATATTCACATTTTTGAAAACTCTCAATCTAACCTGTATCTAAGATGATGCTAATTTGGCTAACTTTTCTCTTTTGTGGGTGTCTTTTAATTAAATAAACTATATAAGCCTCTATAGGCATGCTTTCAAAAGCTTGTGAAGTTGGAACAAAAAAATCTCTCATTCTACCTTTGCCACTGACCATAATATGTATAAACCAGAAGCTGTGTGGATTGATAAGGGTCATGATACTTGCTTGCTTCAATTTTGTTCCAACAGTCATTTCTGGATTTCCCACTCTGCTCTGGGGTTTTAACTCTTCTTTTAATCACCTAGGAAATAGAGTTTTAGAAAAGTTTCTTTGGTCATCATGCATGATAACGTTTAGAATTCTCCTGGGCTCTACATGCCAAAATGGAAGACGTCATAGTTGATTTCCAGTGCTCAAGCAATCTGAAACTGGCCAACTTGGCTTCCTGAATCTCTGTCTTGACTCCCCACATCTTGTTTGAACTACATGAGAACTTTCTAGAATCCAGTGGGAATTTTCATCCCAGGGCACCATTATCGCCTTAATAAGATGGGCAGAGACCATCTTCTGTAAGCATGTTCACATGGCATTGAGGATAATGTTTCCTAAGCATGGTGTCATCTCAGCAGCATGCCACCCTTAGGAAGGAAGATGGGAATATCTGGATATGACTTCTCAGAGAAATGACTGATAGTGCTATCGAGCCTTCTAAGAATATCTTCTAAATAATTCCCCTCCGTGTCAGGTGCACACTAAGCAGATGAAGTGGAACACTCAGACTCAGTCTTGCCAGCATGTGTACAAATCACTTGCATTTTAACTGCAAAATCATAAGGCCCTCAGTGTACTCATTACTTAGCAGAAGCAACCCCAATGGTATGAAATGGACCACAGGATAGGCCAGCAACTAAGGTATTTTAGCATCACTTTTGTCCTGGATTGATGTGTTTCCAAGTCCTACGTTAGGCTGTACAACTGGTTTGAGGAGGCATCTAGTCCTTGCTTCCCGAGGGAGGCTATGTTTTAGTTCACATAGTAAAGCCAATAGACGATGTTGAAGAAGGAAAAAACCACTGGGAAGAATATGCGGGACCACCGGTCTATGGCATTCACATCAGTCAAGTCGGGGATGGTGATTTTCAGTTGGGAGGCGCGTCTCCGCAGGCGGCTTTTCTTCTGTGCCACGTGTCGTTCCAGGGCATTTCGGCCAAAAGTATGCCTGGGCAGCCCGGCTTTCCGATACTGGATGTTGGCCGCATCGTAAGCCAGCATTGTGCTCCTGGGGTCTCCAAGTCCCATCACAGCCTCAGATGTGGCCATTTCATTTTTTATCTCTAGAGTGCTCAGTAAGATGTTCTCGTGGGGGTCCATCTGCAAGAGAGAAGAATCAAATGAGACGATCAAGACAATAAGCCTTTTAGATGCTTATTATAGAAGGGCATTATGATATATGGTTTAGGTAGTACAGTTGGCCCTTGAGCAACATGGGTTCTAAATGTATGGGCCCTCTTACATATGGATTTTTTTAAATCAATACCAATACTGTTTTCACTCTGAGGTTGAGAGTCTGTAGATGTGGAGGGTCAATTGCATGCATTGATGTATATGTCATTTTATAGGGAACTTGAGCATCTCCCCATTTAGGTATCTTCAGGAGGTCCTGGAACAAATCCCCCATAGTTACTAAGAGACAAGTTAAGTTTTGGGGGAATCCTAAGTTAGACATGGATTTTCAACTGTGCAAGGGTTGGTCCCCTAACCCCGCTGTTGTTCAAGGGTCAACTTTGTATTATCATAGTGGTTAAGAGAACTGGCTTTGTGGTTACATTATCTAAAGTTGAATTGTGGTCCTGCCATCATAAGCTATGTGAATTTCAGCTTCTTCATCTATCAAATGATATGGTAATCTAACCCTAGAAGATTGGTATAACGGTGTCATGATATAATAGACTATTGCTAGCACAATTTTCACTATTTCTACTTAGGAGATACAGAGACATAGAAGGCATGATACCTTTTAAATAGTTTATAGTCTTGAAACTAATACATAAAATATTAAGCTGTACTAGATATAAAATAATATTAGGGGATAAATTACTACATTTCAGTGCTCATGCTAGTAGCCTAATTACAGATGAATTCATGATAAAACTAAAACTAAAAACAGTAGGTAATATTTATTAAGCATTTACCAGAAACATTTTTGTATAACTTCATTTAATTGATGCTTAACACCCACACTTACAAGATGTCCACCTTAAATTTGTAGCGTCGATATGAATAAGGTAAAAAAAGAATTTTGAACAATGTAAATGCAGGCAACCTGTGACTTGTCAAAATGCAATAGAACTCAGAATAAGAAACTTGAAAAAAGACAGCTGGGCAGACTGTGGGTGGTGGGATGGTGAGTGGGTGAGGGGTGAGGGACTGACTTGAGAGGGAAAGGAAGGAGGCAGGATTCGAGAAGAGAGTCAGCCAAGAGTTGGGTGTACTGAGTTGAATTCTGGGCCCAGGAAGTAGAATTAAGGTGGCTGTGCTGATAGGGTGACCCCTTTCTCTCTTGGATGATTTCTTATTGGCCACGCTAAAAGTAAAGAATGAATACTGACAGCATGGTTCCCAAAGATTGAGTGATTTATAATGTTTTTTAAAGAAGGGACAATTTGTGTCTTATTTTAAGAGGCCCAATAGCTATAGATAATAAAACCTAGCCACAACACGTTATTCTTAATAGCAGGTTATATTTATTTTGGTGGAGAATCAGGATATACCAATTTCCAGTAAAATTTTTGAAATTACAAAATAAAAGAAAAATGGCCAATGATAGGAACTGATGATATATGGAAGCAAGGAATATAACCAAACACTTAATTGGAAGATATAATGCTCTGAGCTTCATTAATTATGCAGAATGCAAAAAGAATGTTGCTGAGATTATATATTATCAATTAGCTTTCAAATGTGGTTTAATGACCCTGCATTATAAATTCAAATCTGAACTCTTTTGAGAAATAGAGGCTATAAAACATGTGGGAACATAATAATTGAGCAATTAATCTCTGCCCACTGATCAGATATTCTCTATGTTTGGTTTATGGTAGTATTTTGCTGAGTGGAAATGTTAAACAAATATATTTGTAAGAATAATTTTAAAAGTTTATAAGATTTGGAAATTAAGCCCAATAAATGTTGAAACACTCGGTCAAGAAAAGGCCAGGTAATAGTTTGATGGCCCTTCAGAGGGAAGGAATATTTAAAATTGCCTACTGTGTATCAGTCCTTTGCAGAAAGTCTCACTGAATGCTCTAAACCATCCTTTGGAAAGAAATTTTTTTCTAGGTTATAAGTGAAGTCATTCACCAAATTGCCCAAAGTCCTAAATGGAAGAGCTGGAACCCAAACCTTGATCATCAGGGTCCAAAGCTTGCGGGGGAGATGACTGGGACTTTCCAAGTTCAAGGATGTGAGGCTGATGGGAACGGGAACCCTCCACCCCTTGTTATCTCAGATCGCTCTTTTTCTGTTATGCCCTGTGTTGTTAACTGTTATTTTAACTACCTAAGAAATAGCCACTTGGTAAAATCTCCCTTGGCTACTATGCATGATGATATTTGGGAAACTCTCCCTCTCTAAACACCAGGATATTTGCTTTTCTGCTGGGCAACTATTAATTATGAATATATACCAGACATGATGGGAACAATGTAAATTGATAATAATAATCATAATAAAATAATAGGAGCAGTGGAGTATTATTAAGGGAAGTTTAGTAATGTTCTAAGTTTAGAACAAATGATTCCTGAATAATTTGTATAATTTTGGTGAGTTTCTGTTTCATTCTCTATGAAATTCAAAATTTGTCAGATGAGATAATTCTGAAGGTATATTTATTTTTTCATTCACAATCCCAGTACTGGATTAGGTTCACAGTCTTCAAGGGAGGTATAAGACCACAAGATTTTTGCCTGGTGAATTTTCCTTATCCATCATTCCTCTGTTACCCCATACATTTTTTAAGTGACTGGTAATTGTACATTGAATGGAACTAAAAGGCACACTTTTTCTTAATTAATTCTAAAAGAAATTTGATGCAGCAGGCTGAATGCTTAGATATATGTGATTTTGACCACTATTTAATGATGTTTAAAAATCTGGATTTAAATGTCCTTTGGGTAGGCCTGTATTTTTCAGTCTAGTTCACTACAGGGCCAACTTTTTTTCCTGCTTTCCATTACATCTCCACAGCCTGATTGGGTCATGTGAATTCACGTAAGCGAGTTCTATTTTGAATACTTCTTTGTCCCCACTGTAGTGGTCAGTGTTAGGGATACACAGCAACAGTCCCTGTCCACGTTTGCCATCACAAGGGAACGAGGGTTCTGTGAGGTCATAGCAACAGGATATAAGCTGGTGAAGGGAGTCAGCAAAAACTTCCCTAAATCCACCTAGATTTTCTGCATGAAGGACACCAGGGCTCAGGGTGAGCCAGGATTAGAGCCGGCTCTCACTCTGAAGTCAGTGTTCTTTCCACTCTGCCTGTGGAGGTTAGGAAAGGCAGGGATCCAAAGAAGGACCAGAAAGAGCAGGCGCATCCACTTACTGGACAGCTCATGCTATTGAATATCCTCGCACTGCTGATCCTGTATTAATCATGACCTTTAGAAAAACTGTATCTTCTGGGGTCCTTCAGAGAGGAAAAACCTTACTCCTACCTTTCTGCTTCTGAGATCTACCTCTAAAAACTTTGCTTTCACTAGAACAATAACCTAAAACCTCACCAAGCTCATGTGATTCACCCACTAAGCCAAGTGATTTTTTGCAGGTGTCTGAAGCAGAGTATCTTTCTCTTGTAATGACTAATAAAGTAGGGTCACTCAGGTCACTGGTCTATAATGAATGAATTCATTAATTCAATCCCTTAATAGGGAATCATTTTACTAAGGAAACCTTGAGACATGTACTAATGTGCTCTACCCATGTGAATTTAAAAATCAAAAACCAAAACAACAACATGAGGCTGTTCATATCTGAGAGCCACCGGTGTCTACTTCATAGGGGCCTCACCCTAGAGTGAAAATATTTACTAGAAAGAGTTGAAGGTTCGAACCTGCAAACATAAATTTAAATTACTGCTTTGCCACTTAATTAGCTTCTAGCTATCCATGAATTTCTGGGGTTTGATGGAAAGGATTGTTTATGAAATGCTAATAGTACTAACTCCATCCTCATAATATGTTGTGATATTTCAAGCCCTTTATGATAGCATAATAGAAACAAACAAAAAAGAGTGAAAATTATCTCAGCTCTTTTTTATTCTACTGGCTTTTCTTAAAAATGACCACCTTCTTGCAGCTACCTGGGTATTGCAACAGAGTTCACCTATATTTGCATTCCAGTTCTAAACTCCACATTTGCTGTCTTTTTCTCCATTTATTTTGGGGGAGGGATTCGAAAAGTCAAAGTTGGTGGCCTTCTCTTGCTCTCCTAGAATCCCCATGTTATATTGTGGTTGAGTGAACGTTTGTTCACCTCTCAGAATACTGAGTGCACACTAGGTAGTTGCCGAGTGCTTTCCTTTGGAAAGAATGCTCTGGATATTCCCAGGTGGCTAACAGTTCACTGCCTTAACATTTCAAGTTACTCAGGTCACAATGTCATTTTATGGGAGAGAAGAGAAGATTTCCCACCCACACACTAGTGATAGTAAGTGGGAATTGCAGAGTTAAGATTTCTTGGATTTTTGCAATTTCTCACTCTTCTACTAAGAAATTATCTGGGGCTTACAAATCCTGCTGTTGTAATTATTTGCCATTTATATTTGTTACTAGAGGCCCAGTGCACAAAATTCATGCACAGGTTGAGTCCCTAGTGGCTGCCGGCTGCTGGCCAGGGCCTCCCTTCCCCTGGTTTGCCAGTGGGCCCCACCCCCTGGTTGAACTCCCAGTTGAACTCCCCATTGAGGGGATAATTTGCATATTAGGCTTTTATTATATTTGTTACAGTAACACTGCCATTAGCATTAGTTATTTTATCTTTATTACATATAGTGTGTACAAGCTTAAAAGTTTAGTGGTCCCTCAGTGTCCAACGGGAATTGGTTCTAGAAGCCCTTCCCCCTCAGATACCAAAATTCATGGATATTCAAGTCCTTTATACAACATGATATAGTATTTGCATATCATCTATGCACATCCTCCCTTGTACTTTAAATCATCTCAATTACTTATAATACCTAATACAATGTAAATGCTATGTAAGTAGTTGTTGTACTGCATTTTGTTTAGGGAATAATGACAAGGGAAAAAAAGTCTTTCCATGTGCAATACAGATGCAACCACCATAGACCTAACCACATAGTATACGTCAGCATT